GTGTTTTGGGGTTTTGTGTTTTGGGGTTTTGTGTTTTGGGGTTTTGTTTTGGTTTTTTGTTTTGGTTTTTTTTGTGGGAATTTTTTTTTACTTCTGGATCCAAAAATCCTGGTTGTGTGTAGGATTACTGGGTTGGGAAAAATGCAAGGAAAACCTCATGAAGGAGCTGATCTAGTGGTGGGTGGGATGTGTGGTTTGTGCCACAGTGCTGGAATACCTGTCCTGTATGGGATTGCACTTGGATACATGGCAGGGAGTTGTTCCTGGCTGTGGAGTAGGAAAGTTAGATCCTGATTTCTCTCCCAGCCATGGAGTCAAGGAGATCACTTCAGGTTGGGCAGGGCTGTCCTGGCAGGACAATCCCAGAGGTGGTGGCGGAGCTTGGAAAAACAAACCAGAGCAAAAAGAACCAGCCCAGAGTGTGAATTAGAAGTATCCATGTTCAAAGGGTAGGAATGAGAAAGAGATCAAGGAGGGAACTGATGGCTTCATGCCTTGATCTTCAGGTTGTGTGTGCAGCGTTTTTGGCTGTGGGGTGTTGAGGGGTGGAGAGGAAGCGACTGAAGCTGCTTTTTGTGAGCAGAGAGAAACCCTCGCTGCTTCTTTCCTCTAAAAAGTGGGTTAATCAAAGGAGACAGCGTTGGGAAGGCTTTGTAAATGAGGCCTCTGGAAGCAGGGAGTCTCCTGGGGGAGTTATTAACCCTGTGGAGAGAACCCTGGGAGGCTGAGCCTGACACAAATCCCTCCCTTCAAGGACTCACAGCTGGTGGCTGGAGTTGCCTTCAAGAAGACCTTCTCCTATGCTGGGTTTGAGATGCAGCCCAAGAAGTACCAGTCCCCCAAAATTGCCCTCCTGAACGTGGAGCTGGAGCTCAAAGCTGAGAAGGACAACGCTGAAATCAGAGTCAACACTGTGGAGGTAAGAGCCAAAGGGGAGCCTGCCCTGCTCCCTCATCCCTGTGGGATGTGTCTGCTTGTCCAGTGGGATAAAAGGTAGGAGGACCATGGAGATGCTCCCGGGACTGGAGCGTGTCTGCTGTGGACACAGGCTGGGAGAGCTGGGGGGGTTCCCCTGGAGAAGAGAAGGCTCCAGGGAGAGCTGAGAGCCCCTGGCAGGGCCTAAAGGGGCTCCAGGAGAGCTGGAGAGGGACTGGGGACAAGGGAGGGAGTGACAGGACACAGGGAATGGCTTCCCACTGCCAGAGGGCAGGGATGGATGGGATATTGGGAAGGAATTCCTGGCTGGGAGGGTGATAAAACGCTGACCCAGGTTGGGCAGAGAAGCTGTGGCTGCCCCTGGATCCCTGGAAGTGTCCAAGGCCAGGTTGGAGCAACCTGGAATAGGGGAAGGTGTCTCTGCTCATTGCAGTGGGGTTGGGCTAAGTGACCTGTAAAAGTCCCTTCCCACCCAAACCATTAACAATTCTGTGATAAATGGGATTGCCTTGTGCACATCCTTCCCCTTGGAAAATACCTGGTGGGTTGTGCTGCCTCTTTTGGGAGAAGAGTAAGGAGACTTGGAATCGCAGCAGGTTTAGGACATGTTTGTGCCCGAGCTGTGCTGTGCCCAGCCATCAGCTCTATGGTGACTTCCCTGTGCCTACCAAGTGGCCTTCCAGGGAGAGCTCATCAAGCACTGCTTGGAATGTATCAGGAAGAGTGTGGCAGCAGGACCAGGGAAGTGATTCTGCCCCTGGACTGGGCACTGGTGAGGCCACACCTCGAGTGCTGTGTCCAGTTCTGGGCCCCTCAATTTAGGAAGGACATTGAGGGGCTGGAGCGTGTGCAGGGAAGGGAATGGAGCTGGGGAAGGGTCTGGAGCAGCTGAGGGAGCTGGGGGGGCTCATCCTGGAGAAAAGGAGGCTCAGGGGGGACCTTCTGGCTCTGCAACTCCCTGACAGGAGGGGGAAGCCAGGGGGGGGGTTGGGCTCTGCTCCCGGGAACCAGCAGTAGGATAAGAGGGCACAGCCTCCAGCTGTGCCAGGGGAGGTTCAGGTTGGACACTGGGAAGAAGGTTTTTACAGAGAGAGTGATCAGAATAGGCTGCCCAGGGGCATGGTGGAGTCACTTCCCTGGAGGTGTTCAAGGACAGACTGGATGTGGCATCAGTGCCATGGTCTGGGTGACAAGGTAGGGTTGGGTCACAGGTTGGACTCAGTTGTCTCAGAGGTCTTTTCCAACCTGGCTGATTCTGTGATTCTGTGATTCTGTAATGCTGAAAGAGCCTCCTCAAATTTAAGCAACCAAGGTCCCCGTTTGGGCATAAAATAGAGGGGCCTAAAATCCCCGGGGTGTTGAAAGCAGCCGTGTGCCGGGACTGCAAGAGCAACATTCCCAATCCATCGTAACGGGATTGTCCCTCTCTCCTCCCTGCCAGGATTACCAGGCCATCGTGGATGCCGAGTGGAACATCCTGTATGACAAACTAGACAAAATCCACAAGTCAGGAGCCAAAGTTGTCCTGTCCAAACTTCCCATCGGGGACGTGGCCACGCAGTACTTCGCCGACAGGGACATGTTCTGTGCCGGCCGCGTCCCGGAGGAGGATCTCAAACGGACCATGATGGTGAGCTCCTTGGTTTCACTTCAACACTGCCAGGCTGGGGATTCCCAAAGCAGGGCAGCAGGCTGTGCCTGAACACGCTGTTCCTTGCAAAGATTTAAAATGATGATCACTTCGTTTTTGCCCGTGTGGTTGTTATTTAAACTTGGCGTAGACAGACAAGGCTGTTCCTTGACGGAATGAACAGTCACACACTAATTGCATCTGCACTGCTCTTTTGTTTCTCTGATTAAGGTCTGCTCACTGCATCAGTAGAGCTTTATTTTCCCTAGTTCTTGGCTGTTCCATCATGAGTGGTTTTTTTTTTTTTCCCTGAGCTTTGTGTATTTCCTGGACTCCAGAGCCTGTGAGTCAGTGCTGCATAATCTTATTTTGCTGTCGAGGATTTTGAGATGGCAGGGAAATTAAGGGGTTTTCCTGAATCTGGCCTGAGGGGTGGATTTGCATCAGCTGAACAGCTGGGCTGTCCCTGAAGAATGAGACCCTGCTGGGAAATCAGTTTGGATTGTCAGTGTTGGTAATTCCTTGCTTTATCTCCGTTCCACGCAGGCCTGTGGTGGATCCATCCAGACCAGTGTCAATGCCCTGACAGATGATGTTCTGGGCCGGTGTGAACTCTTTGAGGAGACTCAGATTGGGGGAGAGAGGTAAATACACCAGCTGTAAACCTGGAGTACCTTGCCAGCCCTCTAATAGCAGTTGGAAGAATTTGGGTCAAAGCATTGACAGGTTGGAGCATCTTTCAAGGGGTTGATGTGAAAACAAGGTTGTTAAAAAAACAATTCTTTTGTTGTATACAAAAGCTGCTTTTTGAGGTTGAGATTTCCTCTAATCTTACCCCTTATATATGCATTTAAAATACATATATTTATTCTGCAGTGTCATGTTAGAAAGCACAGTGGTATTGCTTCATTTGTAATGGGAAAGCAGCACATTTTGGGGTTGATTGTGGCATTTATCTGATGTTCCATAGTGACTCTTTGCTTCAGTGCAGGTGAAGTTGGGGGTAGTACACTGGGGTCCTTCCTGTTGCTGGAGGAGAATTCCTGTTTGGAGCTGGCTGCTGACTCCTGCCAAGTAGAAAATTGGAGCACCAGTTTAGCAAATCCCTGGCAACAGGAAGAGAGTGGATTTTCCTGGATTTCCCTTGTGTGTTGCCTGGCTCTGCTCCTTCTGAGCCCAAGATCCAGTGGGGCGCCGTGAGGGTGACATGGCTTCAGTCACGGATCCGGCCTGTCCGGAATTCCTGAGTGCTGGTGTGGATCCTCTCCAGCAACACCACCACTTCTCCATCCCCCATAACCCTTCTTGCCCCATGCCTTTGGCAGGTACAACTTCTTCACGGGCTGCCCCAAGGCCAAGACCTGCACGATCATCCTGCGCGGGGGAGCGGAGCAGTTCATGGAGGAGACGGAGCGGTCCCTGCACGATGCCATCATGATCGTCAGGAGAGCCATCAAGGTGAGCCCCGGGGGAGCTGCCTCCCTGCTGGGGGAGGCACTGGGGTTGTTCCTCAGCCTTGGCACAGCCCTAAGTCCTTCTGGGAACCTTCTCACATGCCAGAGGTTGACTGAGGTCTCTGGAGAGGCCTGGAGTGAGGAGTTGATTAACTCAAGTGCGGTTCCTTGGCCAACTCAGCGCTGCTTTGGCAGCGGCTCCAAGTGCTTTCCAGGCACGCCTGGGTTTTCCTTTCCTTCCTGCACAGCTGTAGCTTGTGCTTGCTCCAGCCCCCATCCTAAACGAGCACAATCCTGGGTGTGTTGAGTGGATTTTCAGGAGGTTTGAACAGGGTTAATGTCATGGGTGTGTCCCTGCCTGTAAATCCACTTGTTCCCCCTTTTGGTGACCAGTCTGAGGGGGTGACAGGCCCCTGCTTTTGAAGGCAAGTTGGAAGCACCAAGAGAAGTCCAAGGCCTCTCTGGATGTGTCCTGAGGATGCTGCCAAGCTGTGGGTGTTTCTGGTTAAAAACAGCTTTGAAGGCTGTTATGTCCTGAGGGGCTGGGAAGAAGCACATCAAGATTTTGGGAACTGTTGCCTTTAGACAGAACATCCCGATCTCTCTCCTGAAAAAAAACAGCAGAACTTGGCTGCAAGGTGCTGCTACCATCGTCTTAACTTTGGGTGCTTGATGGAAGCGAGGGAGTTGGGTTCAAGGTATGGAAGTGAAGGAAGTGGGCTTGAGGTATGGAAGAGAGGGAAGTGGGCTCGAGGTATGGAAGAGAGGGA